AATTACAGCAACTGTTGGTTATTATTCACTAATGCAACCTGGGTCAGGATTCATCAAGCATTTACGTTTCCACATACGAAGCCTGTGCGTCTTTTCTCAGTTATGGCGGTTTTGTTAACCCTTAAAGTGATGCTATTATATATTGATTCATATGTTAATGCAATTATCATGCTTTGCTTTAAACTGTTATTGTTTAGGTTTCACACCAAGGATGGTAATATAGATGTAATATAACTATGGATGTAGTAGAGTTTATCTTGGTTCATTAAAAAATTCTATCTTTTCATGATTATCTTACTATGCAAATGCGATTGTCACAAATGTTACTATGTCATTGCGGTAATTGTCTAGGTATAAAATTCCATTTAAATTACATGATACAAATACAGTACTGCACTGATTATGTTCATATGGTTTTCACAATTCTGTATGGTTATACTGTAATGAAATTTATCAGGTCAACCCATCATCATTTGAAAATAGTAAAGGAACAGCAGTAGGCCTATTTGCCTATTTGAGACAGCTCCTATATATTCACGATATAATAAATATGAGCTACCTCATATAGGTCAAAAGGCCCATTGGGAATGAGTTGAGGAGAATATAAATAGGAGCCACCTAGTATGGGGGCTACGAGGTAGCTTTTATTTATATCCAGGATAGTAAAAAGGAGCTACCTTGTATGGGCCAATAGGCTGTATGAAGTTTTCTTAGTTTTTATGTCTTATTGATTTTACATTTATTTGTTCATACATATTAGTGTAAAAAAGATCTAGACATCCAAGGTCAACATTGAGTCATCTGCAGGCGATGAGTCACAATAACATGGCTGAAGAATGTTGACCAGACCACACACTAGAAGGTGATGGGACGATGATGTTTCGGTCCGTCCTGGACCATTCTCAAGTCGATCACAATCGACTTGAGAATGGTCCAGGACGGACTGAAACGTCGTCGTCCCTTCACCTTCTAGTGTGTGGTCTGGTCAACATTGAGAGTCATCTGGCTCGGCTGCTGTGAATGTGTGACATAAGGTCTGGTCATTGTAGAGTCTGGTGTTGATAGATGAAGGCTGGGCTGTCACTCGCTTAATATGTTCACTGCTTAAAACTGGCTATAATGTAGCTGGTTTATACAATTTATTTTGGCATTTTCATACTTTTTGCATTCAAATTAATCATTATATAAGGACAAATATTTTATTTACCAGTACGGGTATTTATTTTTTCCACATAGGCGGACACCGTACAAATTCATAGCTTCATGTTAGGAGTTAAGCAGTTGAAGAGTTTTGAAAATTCACAACTCATGATTATTATTAATATTATAGACAACCTCAAAGCATTTGAAGCTCATAAAGTGTTTAATAAATGCTACCCAAGCTGCCATGGTTGATGAAAGATGTACGGGTTTTGTAAATGGTTGCATAAATACTTGATGAATCCTTGCCCTGATGTCCTGTGCTGGTAATGCGTGAGACATTTACTGTATACTGTGGTAACCTGTATCCCTATCATTAACTATAGCAAATCAGCTTTCAGCTTAGTGTATTTAACATAAGAACAATTAATAATGATACATACTCTGTATTAGTTGTTTAAGGATGGCCAATGTTGAGTGGAGAATGTTTCGCTGACATATTTCAGGTTATTGCCGACTTTGACCGCACTTTGACTCGAGTCTGGTACAATGGAAAAATGTGCGAGACATGTCATGGTGAGTCTTCATCATGACTACTATCAGCTTTTCTTCGCTTTTAATAGTTACTTTGCTAGTACTGTGCATTTATGGCTAAATGCAGAAAGACAGGCTCTAAAGAATACTCCTAGTTAAATGAGAAGTGTTTTAGAATCAAAGCCCACACTTGTTTATTTATGAAATTTATGTTAGGAATTTACAACCAATCTTTCACACTATCCTGAGTACTTTACTAAGGTCTGAGTGTGTGATTGGGATGAGACTTACATCTCAATGTCTAAATGATGATTTAAGCGTTGAGATGCAAGTTTCGTCCTAATCACACACTTAGACCTTGATAAAGCACTCAGGAGAGTGCGAAAGACTTTGTATAAATTCCTTACATAATTTTCACAAACCCATAAGTGTGGGTTTTGATCCTATGATGTCTGTGAAAAGACAATTACCATTACTAAAGAGACAAGTATTCCTATTGACTTTCATTTTAAACTAAATAACCCTGGCAACATCGTGAAATGACAACATGTCCACGTCAAAATTTAACATGCCTTCAAACAGATGAATAGAAGTAATGGTGAAGTAACTACTGTAGCTTCTGTAACCTATAATATTGTATTACTCATATACAGTATGCTGTGTCCACCTTTCAGCCCATCCTCCTCCTAAAATGATAGTACTTATAGTAACAATTTGATCGAAAGTACTGTACCAATATGCGGTGATGGACCATGAAAAAGTTGATGTTTTGTATCTATGAATTTAGCAAAATGGGAATCTTATTTTTAAGAGCAACGTATAGAACTTTAACTAACCTAACTTCTAGCAATCCTAGGCCTAATACATGCTATCTTAGGCCCAATGCAATATATAATCATGTGTTTTACTAGGCCTAAGTATGTTAAAGTTTGGTTCTTGGCTTTATTTTTTCCTGACTATAAAATTAAAAGTACAAAGGTGAACTTTTGGTGGTCCATTGGTAGTACTGTACAGTTGGGTTCATTCTTGACTCATAATGGGGAATCTCAGAGTCGAATCCCAGGCGGGACAGAGATGGTTAGATAGATTTCCTTTCACCTAATGCCTCTGTTCACCTAGTAGTAAACAGGTGCCCAGGAGTTATTCAACTGTTGTGGTGTTGCATCCTGGGGAGGGTCAGGAGTTTGACCTTTTGGGGACCTCGATATAAGCCTAACATAAATATACACAGGTTATGTACCCCCAACAAAATAAATGATTATTATTACATGTTGATACTTTCATCCAAATAGGTATTATATACATCATTTCAGGGGGAAAGGTTGCCCCATTATGGGTGTTTAATGTTGGCCTTTGGTGTGGAAGAAGGTGCCAATATTTGCATGTACAGTACTGTACTAAGTATATCTGCCACGTATGTTAGCATCTCCTTGGTGTACAGCACTGCTACACATTTAATCATGTTTTAATATCTGATTTTATTTTCATTTTCTTTGACATTTTCATTAAAGTTATTGCAACAAGTTCATCGTTTGCCATTAAGTTTATGGCTCGGTTAATTTTCCTCTTTTTTCACAAAACTGTACACTGTTTGTTTTGATTATACAGTATACCAAAATAGTGTGCACTGTGTGTGTGTGTAGCACTGAGCTACACAGAGAACTACTACTAACAAACTTTGCACAATTAGCATTCATCACTCTGTACTAGATATAAAAATTTAAGAGTACAGTACTATTTAGTCGAATATAAAACATAATGTAGCTCATGTAATACTGTACCATTAACAGGAAAATTATTTATCGTATACTGTATATTTGCCATATTTGCCAGTGTAATTTAGTAGAATATTTTGTGGGTAAAAAACAGTTGTATGTATCATCATACGTATGCAGGCAATGAGTCACAATAACGTGGCTAAAGTAAGTTGAACAGACCACACACTAGAAGGTGAAGGGACGACGATGTTTCGGTCCGTCCTGGACCATTCTTAAGTCGAAACGTCGTCGTCCCTTCACCTTCTAGTGTGTGGTCTAGTCATCATACGTATATTTAAAGTGATGTTCATGATGTTTTACAAGGAAAACACATGATTTTGTGCATGTAAATTCAAAATATATTCCACTGGTGGTGGAGCAAGAATGGGAGTGCTATCCACCAGCAAATACGGTACAGTACGTGTCCTTTATCAATAGTGATTGGTGGAAGAGAGAGATTATGCTTGTATTATGCAGAGAGCACAGCATCTGTATAGAAAGTACAGTAGTTCTTGTTTCATGTATTAAATATAATAAGTTGAAGTAGTTATTTTTCTTAAATATGAGTTGTAAATAAAAATTGCATTATCGAAGGTGCCTCGTTGGGATTAGTTGTCAGGAGCAAGGGCAAGATTTTTTTTTTTTTTAACAAATGTCATCTGCTTTTTATACTTCTCTCTCATATTTCATACCAAATTGCAATGTAACTCTTAACCCCTACATTTCTCCAATCACTGTTTGCAATTACCTTCTGTATTCACCTGGTTGTGCTTGCAGGTGGTTGATCTTCGGATCTTTGGTCCCAACTCTCAAACATCAATCAACTGGATACAATACACACACAAATCACAATAGGGTGATATATATTAAATGAACAAATCCACAAGGGCCATGATGAGGGTTCGAAACTATGCACGGGAAGTTCCCAGCTGCACCTTAGTGAACTGTGCTACGACATGAACCATGTCGTAGCACAATTGACTGAGGCGCAGCTGGTAACATCCCGTGTGTAGGTCTGAACCCTCATCACGGCCCTTGTGGATTGGTTCAACTAGTTACAGGTTTCTGAGCCTATTGGGCTGTATCATATCTTCATTTGAAACTGTGTTTGGAGTCTGCCCCCACACATCATTTCCTAATGCATTCCATTTGTTAACAACTCAAACTGAAAAAAATTTGTAATGTCTCTGGCTCATTTGAGCACAGTACTGTACTAAGTTACCACCCATGTCTCCCTTATTCATGTTCTGCCCTGTGCTAAATAGTTTGTCTTTATCTGCCCTATCATATCCTCTTCAGAATTTTAAAGGTGGTAATCATGTCCCCCATAGGTCTTCTGTTTTCCAGTGATGTGAGTTTGATTCCTGTCGTTTGTGCAAATTATCATATACTGCACAATTTTTTCCATTTGATAGTAACTACTTTTTGGCAGGCACACCATGATGTAATGCTGTACTCTTAAATAGCTCAGCAGCCCAGGGATTAAAGTGCAATGGCATTTTATTTGTGCAGGTCCATCACATGTTATATTTTCTAATTTATTAACCTTTAAAATTTCCTCATTTGTAGGTATTATGGACAACAGTTCTCTCATGCCAGCATTCTACCGTGAGGAGGCCAATAAGTTGCTGGCCAAATATTATCCCATTGAGATTGATCCTAAGATGAGTGAGGAGGAAAAGATCCCACACATGATTGAGTGGTATGAACAGATCCACAAGCTGATAGTTAAGTGCCAAGTTAGTCAAGAGTCACTGGAAGGAATGGTCAGCTCCAGCAATGCTAGGCTCAGGTATTCACCACTTTTATTGCTAATCCTCCCAATTCTTCTTTTTTGTTTTTATCGTGAATAGGAGTACAGAATTATTCCAGTCGAGACATCATCATTACTTCATTTTTTTTATAGGTAAGGAAGCACTAAAAAAATGACTAGCATGAGAGCACGTTTTAAACAGTGCAATAAATGACTGTAAAACAGAGAAAGTATTGATGTATATTAATAATTGATTAAATAGGGTAATCCAAGTGATAATTGTTTGCAACTCTGGTAAGTAGTAGCACATGCACTAGCAAAGTATTGAAACTGGTATCTTTTCTGTGATATACTAAATGTGAAGTATTCTCAAGTTGTGACAACTAAAGTGCTGTATTATACATTCCTTGCAGACAGTTTGTCATGAGAGACGGTGGTATAGCCTTCCAGGCTTTTCCCTTGATAATTGCTTATTTCACTTAGTTTTTGTTGATTCTCTTATGCCTTGCATGTACAGTATAACAAGCTTTCTTACACTCGTTTATGTTTGTTCTCCTTCCATTATATCCACAAATCTACTTTTAACATTTCTTTAAACTGATCTTCTCATTCAATTATGCCCTGTAACATAATGGTTAGTACAGTTGTATAATACTGTACTACTAAATGGTCCTGGGTTTGACTTCTTCACAGGACAAGACATTAGGCATGTTTTCTTACACCTGATTGCCTCGGGTGCTTAGTAGTAAATAGGTACCAGTGTTTTAGATGACTATTGGGTTGTATCTTGAAAAGGTTAGGCTATAGCCTATTGGTACCTCAGTAATCTAGCAGATTTCCTGTCCTCATAATATAAAACTGTAACATACCCTCAATGTCAAAGTAAAACAGGTTTGAATACAGTCCTTTACAGACTCCTCAGAAACTACACTTCAACTTCTAGTTGTAAACCTAAATGTTTCTTGAATTATTACTACACACAAAAAAATATGAGAATATATTAAAGCATAGTAATTACCTAAGTATAGTTACAGGATGAGAGCTACTCTCGTGGTGTCCCATCTTCCCAGCACTGTCATGTAACGCTTTGAAATTACTGAAGGTTTTGGCCTCCATCACCTCATTGAACAGAACTAACTTGTTCCACCCATTTACCACTCTGAGAAAGTGAATTTTCTTATATTTCTTCGGCATTTTTGTTTAGTTAGTTTAAATCTATGACCTGTTGTGCTTGAAGTTCCGGGTCTCAGGAATTCTTCCCTATCAATTTTATCAACTCCTGTTACTATCTTGTACGTAATGATCATATCGCCTCTTTTTTTCTTCTATCTTCTACTTTTGGCATATTTAGTGCCTCAAACCTCTACTCGTAGCTCTTGCCCTTCAGTTCTGGGAGCCACTTAGTGACATGTCTTTGCACCTTTTCCACTTTGTTGATGTGCTGCTTAAGGTATGGGCACCATACAACTGCCACATATTCCAGCTTTGGTCTAACAAAAGTCGTGAACAATTTCTTGAGTATTTCGTCATCCATGTATTTAAAAGCAGTTCTGAAGTTAGAAAGTGTAGCATAGGCTCCTCGCACAATGTTCTTTATGTGATCCTCAGGTCACATAAAGTTTATCTAGAACCACTCCAAGATCTTTCATTATCAGGATTCTTTAAAGATTTCTCACATAATTTATAGGTTGTGTGGGGTCTATGTTCTCCTATTCCACATTCCATAACATGGCATTTATTTTACATTAAATTCCATTTGCCAAGTGATGCTCCATAAACTTATTTTGTCCAGGTCTTCTTGAAGGGCATTACAATCATTTAAGTTACTTATCCTCCCTATTATCTAAGCATCATCAGCAAACATGTTCATATAATTCTCTCTTCCATCTGGTAGATCGTTTATGTAGACAGTGAACATTACCGGTGTGTGTGGTAAAAATAGTGTGGGAGTAATTATAAATTTGATCTAAATTAAAGTTTGTGTATTAATTGAATATTAATTTCTTAAAAATATGGTACGTAATTTGGGAGAAGCAGTAAGAGAGGGGCCATAGAAAATGTTGTGTCTTTCAGAGATGGAACAGAAGAGCTGTTGAGTAAGCTTCACACTGCCAATGTTCCTGTGCTAGTGTTCTCTGCTGGAATGGGAGACATTCTGGAGCAGGTTCTGAAGCATTTTGATGTTTACACTGACAATGTCAAAGTTGTCTCAAATTTCTTCCAATACAATGATGAGGTAAATATCAGCATTTATTCTGTATTTTAATGTTTAACTTTAAAGGTGCATTATAGGAAAAATAATTATTGCCGAGACCTTCCAAAGTCCACTTTTTCCACATTTGTTTCTCAGTAAAACATATCTGGGTATTATTATTATTGTATACTCTCGTTGCTTTCCAACCATAAAACAAATATGATACTTGTATTTGCACACATTTACACATCACAAACACTCACATGTACACAGGTTCTTAGCATGAGGTAATATGTGGTCTGACTTAGATTTTTGGGCATTGTGCCATGTGGTGGTTGTCAGTGTAGATGACCAGACAGGCTAGGCAGCACAGAGTAGTTAGCAGTGCCCTCATTGGCAGTTATCCATGATGCCATTAGAGGGTTCTGAAGAGATCGGGTTTTTATGAATTGACATCAGTTGGTCATTTTGGGCCCATCCCTGTTGTGTTTTATGGGGCTGATGGCAGATGTAAGGTGGATATAAGCCATTATTACTGTTTTTAATGATACTGTACTTGTTGACCAAACCACACACTAAAAGGTGAAGGGACGACGACGTTTCGGTCCGTCCTGGACCATTCTCAAGTCGATGGACCAAGTCCTGGACCATTCTCAATCGACTTGAGAATGGTCCAGGACGGACCGAAACGTCATCGTCCCTTCACCTTCTAGTGTGTGGTTTAGTCAACATACTTTAGCCACGTTATTATAACTCATCGCCTGCATACTGTACTTGTACTGGGTGGGACCTGCTGCATGGGTAACAGCTTCTCCCCTGTTAGTCTACCTTGACTTTGCGCCCTGGAGAGGCCACTGCAGACTGACAACCAGAGCGCAACTCCATAGTCTCCTGAGACTGATGGTTGTCTACTACTACTACTACTACTACTGTACTGGTACATGACTAGCAGACCAAGTGTGCCAGTCGTCCTGCTCTGTGTCTGTCAGGAAATAAAAGCAGGCAGTAGCTCTGCTCTGAGCTTGACAATCCCTTTCACATAAAATGACCCTAAATGCATGTTTGAAAATTTTAAGTGGTGCCAGTGCCTGTATGTTGTCCTACCTGTCTAAGGACACACTTGGTAGCTTATTTTATTTGGTAATAGGGAGTAACATATGATTCAGACCAGATTGTTACTTATTCTATTAAAAAAAATGCAAAACAATTTAATAAGTAGTCCAGTTAAATCTCCACACTCCTGATTTGGTTTACAGTATCATGGTTTCTGATTGCAAACTCTTTTTAAGACCATCAAGGTTTCCTCAGAGTATTGAAGCTCCTCTTTACTATGTAATTGAGGAAACCTAAGTTGTGTTAAGAATTAACAATTTTATTTAACCTATTCATGAATTTTGATTAATGTATCAACTATTTTTAATTAGGTTGATAGTTAATCTTAAAAATTATAACTTGAGTTTTAAAAATATTTCAGGGTGTTATGATTGGCTTCAAAGGTGATCTAGTTCATGTTTTCAACAAAAACGAAAATGCTATTCATTCATCAGACTACTTTGAGAAGCTTGAAGGACGAAATAACGTGATACTTATGGGAGATTCTCTTGGTGACATCAAAATGGCCATGGGTGTTCCACAGCCAAGTAACGTCTTAAAGATAGGCTTCCTCAATGATAAGGTAAGATCTCTTGTATAACTGTTTTGTATGTCACAGCCAAACCTACACTTCATTTGTTAATGCGTAGCCAGTTTAAAAAAACAAAGGAAAGTCGACTGTTGTTAAAAAAAAAATCTATAGGTGCTTGCTCCTTTAAGGATTGGATATATAAATGTTGTCATAAAATGGTTGTTGATTTCATTTTATTTGGTCAACCTTGTATCAGGTGAGGTCACTGCCACACCCTGGACCACTGGTCACATGCCAGTGACCAGTGCCGTGACCAGGTGCATACGGCCATGTGCTCCTACACTGAATTCTTGATAAATAAAATTAAATAAAAACATTTTTGTTTATATAACAATGCAAAGACTGCAATGGAAGCCTTCTATCAGAATTGTATAACAACTTGTAGTTTTTCTTTTACACTCATCTTAACTGTACCACATAATAACTATCGTTCTTCATTTCCTTTAGCTTTGAACATATCTCACTCCTCTGCTGAAGGTAAAATTCAAGGCTTCCTATAACACTTGGTTAAATTATCAAACAACTATGGGAAGGTAGTGTTGCACATCCTTGTCAAGCTTCAACATCTAACCTGTACAGTATTTATATCTTAGTTATTCCATACTTGATCTATATAAGCCGCTCATTGTTTTTTATATTTTGCTCTACAATCTGTACATTAGAGCTCTTCTCTATCAACTCAGTTTGAAAACTAATTTTTTCCCCATTTTGAACTACCATCCTTATAAAAGTTAAAACCCCACAACCTTGCTATTTCAGAAACCCCTGCCTCCCTTTACTCCAGTTCACTGCAGGCTAATTTCTCCTCCATATACAGTAATAAAATATTTGTTTCCCAAAGGTAATGATTCCTTCCCTAGGATGAAACCCAGAACAGCCGCCTGAGAGGTGAACGGACATGTGCTCAAACGTCTTGTCCTGCCATCCTCTTTACCCTCTCGTTCTGTGCCCGTAAACCTATCATAATAAAAATGCATGGCTGTGAATTACCTCGTCCATTTCTATAAACGTTTCACCAGTAACCAAGTTGCTACCTGATATCGTGTATGTTTTACTATTCTATCTGCTTACTGCCCGACCACTTTGGCTGGACGGTAGAGCAACGGTCTCGCTTCATGCAGGTCGGTGTTCAATCCCCGACCGTCCAAGTAGTTGGCCACCATTCCTTCCCCTCATCCTATCCCAAATCTTTATTCTGATCCTTTTCAAGTGCTATATACTATAGTCGTAATGGCCTGGCACTTTCTCCTGATAGTTCCCTTTCCTGCCTTTATTTTTCTGCTCTATTTTCTAAGCTCCATCTTCCTCCATCACTTTTCCTCTTGTATTTTCCGTACATTAAGAACTTTGCATGTAATATTCACATTGGTTTGAATTATTATTTATAATTTGTTTTTGGTTTTATTTTAGGTTGAAGAACGACTGGAGGCATACATGAACAATTTTGACATAGTTCTTATTGATGACCAAACCATGGATGTTGCTGGGTTAATTGTAGGCTTAATGAAATGATAACTTAGTACTGTACCAATAAATCATATCAGGCAGCAGATCAAAGCCCCCACAGTACACATGGTTAGTGCTGTTATAAACCAAATATTCAGATACTGTATCTCATTTTATATTCTGACATTCACTGGAATTGTTGGTGTGTAATTTCTTTTTGTTACTCTCCTGGGACTTGCAATTTATATTACTGTAAACAATTTTAAATAAAATAATTTGCATTGCTATTACTTTTTAAATTTAATTGCATTACTCTTGGGCTTTTAAATGGATTACATTGCTCTTAAAACTTAAAAAAAAAATTAATTTAAACATTTAAAAGTTATTTGATTTGTAGAATTTGCAAAGTATAATAATTGTTAAATGTGCCTTGTAACTTTTTAAACATGCAGAGAATGTCAAAATAATTTATAAGGGTCCAGGACGGGCCAAAACGTCATCACTCTATTTTTGTTTTGTGTATTTCGGGTGGGTTATTTTAAGCTTTAATACATGTGGAGTAAATCAGACTACCTATGGTTCCCACTCAGGCCAACCCCTCTTTTTAGACGTTTAATTTGTATGCAGTAATGCTAATTACAATATAGTAATTGCACAGTACTATTGAAATTGTGCAAAATTTATCTTAATTCTTAATGATGGTCATGAATTTTTTACTTGAACTAAATGACTGCAGTTGCGTTATGAAACTGTGACATTGTATTTTAATCGTTTTATAAATTTTGTTTATACGGCAAAACTTTCATCGTACAATCCGTTAAGCCAGGTGTTGTCCACTTAACATTACTATTCCTCGTTATATTCAAAGTTTTATTAATTGTTGACATGTGGTTAAAAACTATGGTTAACCACAGTGATGATGAACGTGCTGGTATTGGAACTTCTGCATTGTGTTAGTAGTAAAACTACTTCTACAGTGGAAAAGAAGCTGTAAAGATGTGTGCTGTAAGCTACCTTTTCACCCGTAATTTTGTCACTGCGGTGCTCCATAGAATAAGTCTTGTACAATGAGTAATTTTCTGTAAAGATTAAATTAGGATAACATATTTTTTATAGAAGTGATTTATTGTTATGTTGGATTATATACATTGCAGAAGATATAAGTGTCCATTTATGAGTATACTCTCATAATATTTCCAGTATAAAATAAATACAAAAAAAATTTGAATAGTAGTTTTATTTACATATATGTGGACAGCCACACACAAGGGGCAAGTAATGCACTCGATAAAATACTGAGTGTATTACTTGCCCCTTTCTGCATTTTTTTTTTTTTTGCAAGTAGGATAGAGAAATGAGGAGGAAACAAGAATATGACTTGACATGATGTGGGACACATCAGGCTTTATGATATAGTTCCTGGTAGTTCAAGAACAAAGGAATGAGGCACTGGATAGCATTAGAGTTTCAGACTAATTGTAGTAGCAGGTAGGTCACCTCAAATTCAGTCACCTATGAGTTTTTCTTGTATTTTCAGAAAAAATGTCTGTTCTTTGTCTACACATTTGAAAATTAAGAAATATTTATATTGACTCTGTTTTCTAACAAAATTTGGTCCAAGTAGCTCAATTCCATGGTGTAAATGTTGAAATTTTTTTACCATAAATGTAATCAAAGCATATTATGTTACATTTACTCTTCAGTCAATAAAATTTTGTAAATAGAAATGAGCCCATGTTTCCAATACTGTCTATAGAGTATTATAATTGCACTACAAGCAGTGTTGTGTTACTGTACTAGCTAACATTGCAATTACAAATATAAAGTCAACAGAAAAATTTTAAAAATATAAAAATAATATCCACTGGGGTCTGATTAGACTGTACCCTTTGTAGTCCTTAGCATTAGTACTTGCAGGATGAGTATGGATGCACAATAAAGTACCACTTGTCCTACAAGTATAAGGTGCACAAACTACCATTCAAAGGACAAGTATGGGGTATGCAATAAACTAGCCACTGCTGGCAAAAACAATAAACTCGTGGGATCTGAATCTAATCTATTCTGCTCTATAAACTTTGGGTACAATGAGAAAATGTTCTATTTTACAAGTGAATGAAATACTGAAGTTAAAAATATCTATGTATTGTATACCATTGTGAGGGGATGAATTTTTCCAGCTAGCTTGTGCACAAGCAGGAAAGGCAAGTGCACCAAGCCCTTCTTTTGGAAATACTTCACCTACACATGCTTATTGGGTGTCTCCAGACAGCCCATGACAAGACCTTTCCAACAAGACTTCAGTGATCAAGTGGTCACTGTAGCAAGTCGGTGAGTAAAGGTATCATCATGAGTATGTTTCATGTTAGTTTTGTGTAGCAAGTGAAGGGGGAGTTGGGGTAGCCAGTGGTGTGGCTGCCACCAAGCCTCATGCCATGAAGTCAGAGGCATCACGCCACCTCAAGAGGAGTTGTGAGTGGTGGAGCCACCTAGTCCTCTGAGGCGCTATTGTGATTGGCCAAGTCAAAAGAGGGAACCAGCTTGGCCCAGTTCTGGTTTGGGTGCCAAAATCATTCCGAGTTGTGTTGTCGCATTAGGAAAGTGTGTTGTTTTGTAGTCTCAGGGCCAAACTACATGAAACGGTGCCTGCAACAACAATTAAGTACAGTACTCCATCTCATCGTACCTCGATGCGACTCTGCCATAAGAAACGCAGAATCCGTAATTCGTGGGCGAAAGTACTTTGATCAAGTGAGGAGTGAACTTACGAGTAGAGTCAACGGTGCGATCGCTACCATAGCAGAAGGCAACAGACTGTTTTGTGAATCCACGTTTAATTCCCGCATCACTCGTCATTAAGTTTCATTGACTAAGATCCCTAGCATTGGAGGTATCCGGGAGGCTCTACAGCAATCAGGGATAGTGTTCAGTAGAAATTCCAAGAATTTTGGTCCAACGCTTGGGACTTTATCTCAAAGCCGTGAGAGGGTGCCGGTCAATAGCTTACTTGCTTCACGCTGCACCACGCCGTGTTAATCATTCGTGGTTTTGTCTTAACCATATGGAGGAAGTGAGGGTGATCTCCAGCTCTGCAGTACTGAAGTACTGCGGAGCTCAAGTTAATTAGAGTAATTAACCCTCATCAGAGTAAATTTGACATAGACTGTGGAGACAACTGTTGATAGGGTTGACAGTGGGGTATAATGTAACTCATTTTGAATTAGCTATCCGTGTGACAGTAATTAGTAATTACTCACTGAATGTGCTTGATGGGTCAAGGGTGATGTAATTAAAGATGAGCAAGTTATTGTTTGATAGTTGACTTGTCTGTAGGATACAAGGGTGTGATTTAACTTAAACTAAATTGTTGCCGACTGGTGTTGACAATCAATGTAATTGATCACTAAGCATTAGAGTAATGAATTAGTCATTAGTTCGTTGTCGTCCTGATGACGAAGTGTTAATGTTGAATTAATAGGGGGTTACCAGTGTTGGCATTAACCTGCCTAGTTGTAGCGATCTCATTGCAGGGGGCTGCAAGAGTTGATTTGCAAGTTGTAGTTATTGATTTATATTGCAGGGTGCTGCAAGAAATTTGTTATTACAAGTTTGCGTCCTAGGTGGGCACACCATTGTTCAGTTAGTTCATTGTTTCAGCCTGAAGCAACCACAGATGAGATTTTTGTGGTTATACTTGGAGCGGCATTTGACAGGAGTCTTTGCTACACTAAGGCTGTTGAATTAGCTTTCTCTAACGTGCCACTGAAAGACAGTAACGTAACGTCAAGTTGTTGTTGTTGTAGACTTAGTTTCTTGTTGAATAAATTGTTAATTGTCATGAGAACGGTCTTTATGTCAAGCCCTACAAGAAAATTGTCCTACACACATATTCTGCAATGTATGACATTTTATGTGAATTTTAAAAGAAGGCCTGCTTCTGGATTCGAACCAGAGTCATAGCACCACACATCAAATTAAATTTGGTGTGAGAATCTGTGATTTACCCTTAAGTGCACTTGCATTAAAGGAGGTTGACAACCTAGTGATAAGGATATCAACTTCATTGAAGGCCTGGCAGTTGCTCCCGCCTTTCTATGGTCTCTTGTTTAAAGCACAAGCTGTGCACGCAGTCCTTCTGTTTGAGGTCAACCTTCAAGGTAAGGTGAATAGAAAATTCTTACAACCATTGATCTAAAGTTATATTGGCAAATTGATATTGACTTATGGGTGAAGAGAGTGTCCTAGTTCATTTTCACAAGTTACAATTGGAGTGCTCTATACTGGGAAATTCATTACCGGAAGTTACCTGCTATAAGTAACAATATCTCAGCCTAATTCTGGCAATTGCATCACACTTTGGAAATTAAATGTATACAGTACTGGTACATATTAATAAAAGATTACAAATAAATTACTATTTATCCGAATAGGTACTGGATGATGTACCTATGCTGCTGATATTGTATGGATGATAGTATACTACTGGATGAATAAAATGCTAGATATATAATGTAGTTAATAATAATTTAATCGTAACTTATGAGGAGATGCTTTTCATTCATAGGGTTATGAATCTATACCCACTGAAGCCATGAATGCTGAAACATTGCTGCAATTTAATATCCAAATACTGTACAGTACAGTACTATAGATAAACTCATGGGGACTTTTGATAAGCCTCTGGCTTCCTGTTCTCATTGAGACCACTAGAGTGACCCTAGGGTAAGAAATTTAGGTAAAGAAACATGATAAACTTGTAAATGTCCACTAGAACACTAAAACTCTATGCAGAAATATTTGTAATTTTTACTTTACTTTTTTACTTAAATGCTCCACTTTTAATTAGCAAAAGTAGGTATACACAGGAATGTGCTTCTACCTTATTCTATATGAGATGTTACACAGCATAGATCAAGAACTAGCTATAGGTTCAATTATTATTCCCATGTCGTAGGTTGGTTAGTCATACATGGAATTAGGGGAAGATAGAGAAGATAGAGAAGGGGAAGAAGCCCGAAATGCTGCGCGTACTAGTGGCTTTACAAGATTGTAAATACTATGCTATGTATTCTCACAAACCCAATGTACCTTCTTGTATATAAATAAATAAAATAAATAAATAAATAATAATACCCCAGAGTCTGCCAGTGCAGACTACTTATCACATGCCTTTGTATGACTAACCATCCTGTGTGATGGGGATTTTAGCATCAAGTAGCTAGCTTTTTGTGACACACTGTACTACCCTTCATATATAGTTTAGGGCAGCTGCACAAATGCAAATCTACTTAAATGTGTTAATAAAAATGAAATGCTCTATATTCTCGAGCCCATTGTTTGTGTGGCAATGTGCATTGAATTTTATTACTATCTCATCAAAATTGAAACTTGCTTAGCTAAATAAATTGTGGGGTTCAGTCCCTGAGCCCATTATGTGGCTCTGTAACCCTTTCCACTACCGCCCAAAAGATGGGTATGGGGTGCATAATAAATAAATAAATAAATAAATAAATAAATAAATAAATGTTTATTTAGGTAAGGTACATACATAAAGAGATTTTACAAAGTTTGTTGGATTAATAGATAGAGCTAGTGCATACAATGCCTAAAGCCACTATTACGCAAAGCGTTTCGGGCAGGAAAAACATTAATGACTAAAGCTTAAAACTAATGGGTAAAAAGAATAAAATGTGTTGAGAACAAATAAAAATAGAGGTAAAAGAGGGGGGAACATGGCTGAAAAAGCAGCACAAATACAATTACAAATTATTACAGAAAATTACATTCAAACAGCGTTGTTTTGAAAAAAACAAAAAAAACAAAACATACATGGGTTGACAACAGAGGGGTAAGGTAGGTTACAGGGAATTTATTAGGTAGTGTTTAGTTTTTATCTTAAACTGGTTGAGAGAGGTACTGTCTTTAACATGGTTGGGAAGATCATTCCACATTCTGGGTCCCTTGATTTGAAGAGCATTTCTAGTATGATTAAGTCGTACTCTAGGAATATCAAAACTGTATTTATTTCTGGTGTGGTGCTCATGGGTTCTGTTACAACCTTCAATGAATCTTTTGAGGTCAGGATTGGCATTACAGTTCAGCGTTTTATATATGTATAATACACATGAGAGAATGTGCAATGACTTAATATCTAACATATTCAGAGATTTGAGTAGGGGTACCGAGTGATGTCTGGGGTTAGAGTTGGATATTGTCCTAATAGCAGCT